AGTAAGAAGTGGGGAGAGGCTTTCTCCCAGACAGAAGTCCTGGCAGAGGCTATTGTTCCTTTAATAAGGCCTTCACCCACAGAGCCTCAGCCAGCCATCATATCTGAGACTGAGACTCCATCAACCTGGCTCACACATTTTGTCCCACCTTAGTGATATCCCTGAGGTCCCACCCCACCCAAATTTCAGGACCACCAAAACAGTGGCTTTTGCATAGGAATGGCCTGTCTTAGCTCATGCTTCAGATTTTCCTAAAATCTCTCAAGCAAGCAGTATGTGGCCTCATTGAGCTCCATACTTCTTGCTAGGTGGCCCTAGGCTCAACACTAGTAACAGCTGACCTTGGTTCACAGCATGGCTTCCCCTTGGCACCTTCAAGCCCAGCACAAGTGACAGCCATCTGCAGGTCCCTTTGTAATTCCTGATAGGTAGCTCCAAGGAGAGCACAGGTAGTGACTGACCTTGGCATGCACCTCCTGGGAGGGCCCAGAGCCAGTGCACCCAGTGGACAGCTTCAGACCACATGGTAGCACCACTCAACCACTTCCACAAGTGACACATTCAAGGGCCAGGAGCTAGGCTAAGTGGGCACTAGAACACTGCTAAAGTAAGTACTGCTCTGTGGGGTGGGCCCCTGCACAGCTGATCATCCATGGTGGCCCAAGATCAGTGGTCAGTGATTGCAGCTAGTCCTTGTAGCTGATTGGATTGGGGGTGAATCTATCCCATTGACATACTAATAGCAATCAAGGCTCAACTATAATAGGAGGGTGTGCACAGCCCATATGGGGATGTATCTTGAGTGCCCGGCATGGGTGATGGAGGAAGCTGTGCCACTGGACCTTACAGGACACTAACTATATTAGGACAGCCTACCAAGCCTGAGAGGCATAGAAGCCCTACCTAATACATAGAAATAAGCACAGGGAGGCTGCCAAAATGAAGAGACAAAGAAATATGTCCCAAATGAAAGAACAGAACAAAACTCCAGAAAAAGAACTAAGCAAAGTGGAGACAAGCAATCTACTAGATGCAAAGTTTAAAACACTAGTTATAAGGATGCTCAATGAACTCAGTGAGGATATCAACAACATAAAAAAGGACCAGCCAGAAATGAAGGATTCACTGAAATGAAGAATAATTTACAGGTAATCAACAGTAGAGTAGATGAAGCCAAGAGTCAAATCAGTGATTTGGAATATATGGAAGCAAAAAACATCCAATCAGAACAGCCAAAAGAAAAAAGAATCAGCCTGGCCGGGCGTGGCTCAGCGGTTAAGCGTCGACTTAGGATCCAGGCAATTGGGGTTTGATTCCCGGTCAGGGCACATGCCCGGGTTGTGTGCTCAATCAATGACCCTCTCATCATTGATGTTTCTATCTCTCTCTCCCCCTCTCCTTTCCTCTCTCTGAAATCAATAAAGATATATTTAAAAAAAAAAAAAAAAGAATCAAAAAAATGAAGACAGTGTAAGGAGCCTCTGGGACAACTCCAAGCACATAAACATTCACATGATGGGTATAACAAAAGGAGAAGAGAGAGAGCAATAAATTGAAATGTATTTGAAAAACTAATGACAGAAAACTTCCTTAACTTGGTGAAGAAAGTAGGCATACAAGTCCAGGAAGTGCAGAGAGTCCCAAACAAGATGAACTCAAAAAGGCCCACACCAAGACATATCATAATTAAAATGCAAAAGATTAAAGACAAAGAAAGAATCTTAAAAGCAGCATAAGAAAAGCAATTAGTTACTTACAAGGGAGCTCCCATAAGACTGTCAGCTGATTTCTCAACAGAAACTTTGCAGGCCGGAAGGAATTGACAAGAAATATTCAAAGTGATGAAAAGCAAGGTCCTACAACCAAGATTACTCTACCCAACAAAGCTATCAAGNTAAGAAAAGCAATTAGTTACTTACAAGGGAGCTCCCATAAGACTGTCAGCTGATTTCTCAACAGAAACTTTGCAGGCCGGAAGGAATTGACAAGAAATATTCAAAGTGATGAAAAGCAAGGTCCTACAACCAAGATTACTCTACCCAACAAAGCTATCAAGAATGGCAGCCCAAGTCCCCATCAGTAGATCAGTGGATATAAAAGCTGTGGGACATTTACACCATGGAATACTATGCAGCTATAAAGAAGAAGGATCTCATATCCTTTGGGACTGTATGGATGGACCTGGAGAATATGAGGCTAAGTGAAATAAACCAGGAAGTGAAAGACAAACATCATTTGATCTCACTTATATGTGGAATTTAAAGAACTTAATAAACTTATGAAAAAAATAGATTCAGTGACATGGAAGCATGTATCAGACTCATGGATCTCAGAGGGAAGGTGGGGGTGAGTGGGTGAGTGGGGAAAGATTAACCAAAGAAATTATATGCATATATGCACAACCCAAGGACACAGACAATGTGGTGAGGGACTGAGGAGGGCAGTGGGGTGGGGTGGAGGGGGTCAATGGGAAGAAAATGAGACATATGTAATATTTTGAACAATTAAAAAAAAAAACCAACATACTCAAAAAAAAAAA